CAACTTCATCCCCCTTTCAGAGCCGCTGTTTGACAATACCTCAGTTCTATCTAGTAGCACAAGGCAGTGAACACCTTCAAAACATGGGATTCACCACTGGCCACTTTTCTGCGCAGCTTCTATAGAAATACTATGTGACACTGTGTCCGGTCTGAATACACCATTATACTAAATCATTATTTAATACTTTTTAGGGAGAAAAGGAAAAATTCAAATGCCATAAGTTTAAAGATCTTGAATCGGCTATTAAAGACTTTGAGACAAAGTTTTCTAAAAGGACCAATACCAACTGGGCTGATCGCTGGAATTTTGAGTCTCAGCCTGGGAAGTACACACTGATTGAAGTAGAAGGAGAGCAGGATGCTGAGGACAAGGTAATATAACAGATATTCCCTCTGCGGCATGAAGCATTGTGTACTTGCAGCTACTGTTATTATTTTCATTAGCTTCATCTTTGAAATCAATATATATCTGTACATTTTGGTCCACAGGTGGCCCATGTTAATGAGGATATACAGGAACTATGTAAGTTTGTACAGAAAATATTGTTAAAATTGCCTTTTTATGTAATCCTTTATGACTAAAACATCATTTGATGATCAGATTGACACCTCAGTAATTCAGCCTAAAAACTGTAAAGCTGATTCAGGATTTTATTTTAAAAGACAAATTACAATATTTATTATCCTTTTATGCAAATAAATATTTATTATGCAAATTAGATGTTCTAATAGAGTTATTGAAACTCTTGATTTGACCAGTTGTTCTGTGCACATTTAACTTTTAGACATCAAGAACCTCAGCAAGAAACAGATTGATAAAGGCAAGGAAATTTTGGAGGAGATTGAAGATGCTTTGAACCCAAACAATAAAAGAGACCTTAAAGAACTCTCATCAAAGTTCTACAGTACAATTCCTCACATTTTTGGCAGGAAAACACCTCCAACCATACACACCAAAGATATTGTTCAACAGAAAAAGAAGGTGCTTATGGTAAAATATTGACTTTAATTTTTATTTGCTATTAAAAAAGTTGTCAGCGCTAATGTTACTTTTAAATGTTGTTCCTAAGGTGCTGGAAGACCTGAAGAAACTGAAATCAGAAACAGAAAAGGCTCCGGAAGAGATGACAGTGACAGTTCCTCATCCTGTGGACCAAAACTAAATGTCTTAAATGCAAAATGCCTTGTTGTATCATAAATTTGGTGTGGTCACTACAATAATAAAAAACGTAGAATCTCGTATAAAGATGGTGTTGTAATACATGCAAATGTTTTTAAGATCAGGCTCATAGTGCATATGATCTCTGTTAACGTACCTATCGATTAATGGCTGAATTACTGTCTCTCCAAAAAGTTTTCAAATTTGTTATAATGCTACTGACAGCTGATGGAATGTGGAATGAAGCTGGGAATTTCATGACCCATGGCCCT